GTTGCTCTGCAAGTTGTGGCGCCGCATCCTCAGCCGTAGCATTTTCATCCAATAAAAATCACGGAAATAATCCAAGATATACCGAACTCGGTCTGCCAGGTTTTGCTCGGTGACGGTTACAGATGGCTCCAGCTCAGCAAAAAGCACATCCTTCCCGATACGCAAAACCTCCAATTTCTCCCCCTTTCGCCCTAAAATAGGCCCGCAATGCGTTGCTGTTCATTTGAGTCGTCCAACGCATGCGGCGTGCTCCACCAGTGGCGGGTGCCGATTGCTGGGCCCGCGAAGACCCTGCCGACACCAAGCCAGCTGGTGGGCATGATGGATGCGAGGGGCTGCTGGGTGGACGTGCAGCACCTCGCGCTCGTTGGCCGGCGGTTCGCATACTGTCGCGTCCAGCGCCAGCTCCAGGCGCGCCCTGGCGTCCTCCAGGCAGCGGCCCTTTGCGCATTCTAGTCAAATCCATCATCCATTTTTGTGGGCGTCATTTAACGGGAGACGCCCGGACCCGGCGCCATTGCATAGTGGGCCATGTGCACAAGCGGGCCTTTGCACCTTCAATTTTTGCCGAGGCACGGCACTAACACCTCTTGGCAAGGTGCTGACTGACTGCGCTGAAGTAGCGGTTTTGTCACATAACCGTTACATCAGCGGGCGATGGGGTGGTCACTTCCCTCCGCCTTAATATTATTATTATTATCATTATAAAGAATTGCAGTCTTCATCCGCGTAGCCTTATTTCTGTATCATCTTCCAAAACTAGACCAATTTTTTCCAAGAAAAATATTCGAAAATAATCCCTCTAATATTAGAACAACATAAGATATAATTGTGGATATGTCTGTATGTTTTTCTTTTATTTCTTATGTTCGTTATATTTGTTTGGTGGAATGTCTATTTACGGCAGTATTACAAGGCCGTTTTAGTAATTTTAGGTTCATAACTTTTTACATAATCGTTCTATAAAATAAAAATAAAAATAGGGCATACGGCAGTGATAAAAATAGATAATATTGTTTGTAAAAATATCTGCCTCGGTGCCACCATGCAGTGAGAAAACAGGAGAATACCTTTCTAGAGACTAAACGTTGCCCCCCCTCTTTTTCTTATTCTATATCTTTTTTTTATTTCTTTTTTTTAATCCTTTTTATAACAAGAATATGCTACAAAAGTCTTGTTTAAAAATATAAAATATAAGAAATAAAAATAGAAATCCCAATATTCTCTTATTCCCAACTCATACCGCTCGTTTTCAAGTTACCGTAGACATTTCAATTCAAATAGCACATCAATATAATACTATACTTTTCCGTGGCTTTCGAGGTGTAATAGAAAATTGTTCACAAAAGTAAAGTTCAAAAAAAGTATATAATATTATATTGAATAATGTAACTAATTATTTGATTGTTACATATGATAATATGTAATAATGTCCTCCAGACCGAATTTCGGTTACGAAGGCCAGCCTCAACGGAGACTAGCCATCCCTGCGCTATTATAGTGCCCAAGCAGTGGCGAAGATATAAATTAATAAAAATATAGATTGTTGTTTTTAACAGTTTTATAAAAATACACCAATCTTGATCTGTCTCCACGCTTCAGTTTCATATTCAGTGCTGTCGAGGACGTGTTTAACAAAGCACACAGAAGGCATACCACTGCTAGATAGATTTTATTACATATCAGCAATTGCATACCGTAGCTTCGGTGGCTTTGAAGAAAGCCGTTTGGGTTTGTTTAAGCGAAAGTAAAAAAATATTTACATCCAATACAATACATGAACAAAAGTAAAACACGAACAAAGTACAAACAAACTATGTACAAAATTAAAAAAAAATTATTTACATTCTAATGGATAAGAGATAAGATAAGTGGAATCGTCTCGCTTTCTTAAGGAAAGATTTAATTACGTCCACGTAAAATGTTGGTGAACGTTTTAATTGTACCAATAACTGTTACTAATTGCGATAATTGATAAGTCTGAAATACACTCTTAACCTTGTGTATTATCTCAACAAAGTTTAAAGATTTCCTCTCCGATTATCACTTTAACACACTTCAATTCATCACAAGGAACACTATTATCCTCCATTTTCATTAAAAATCTTTAAAAAAGCATAAATTTTGAACTCGTAATATTAAATCGCTTAAGATAAGCACACAGAGTAAATAAACATTGAAACGTGAAATGAACTTGCTAACGTATTGCCCGCACGCCTCCGCTTTTAACAAATTTATTCCCAAAAGCCTGGCTTTAAATCTCTATACTAATTGCTATATATACAATCGTAGTTATATTTCATTATAGAATATTTTGCCATAGGTTAGAAAAAGAGAGCGATCGTCTTCTCGAAAGCTCCGTAAAAAAGCCCACGCGAGCGAGGGAGACAACTATTAGCTCTACTAAAACTCATTTTTAATGACAGCAGCAGTATCGCTAAGGCAATACGAGGTCATCGGTCGACATGTATCGAACAGTGGAGTGCGCGGGAAATTTGAAATAGCTTGAAACATTTTACGAGTTATTTTATTAGTTGATATTATTGATTAATATTATTGATTGATTCAGGTTTAATAAGGCAAGCCCGGCTTTTTGGCTTTAATGGAAGCTTCGCCACTGTGCCCAAGTGTATAGTCCTCTCATAGTCCGATATGACGGTAAACCGACACGACCGGAGAGAGATCAGGCGCAGGACCAACAGCTTTACGTGCTTTCCGAGGCTGGGGGGTGAAACACCGCAAACTTCTTGCCTTCTGGGCAGCTACTGAGAATTTCTTGTCGGAAAAACTCAATAATTGATTTTTTTGTTTGATTTGACTCGGAATTCAAACCCAGGATCTCATGACCAGCATTCGCACTACCACAACCACTAGACCAACGAGGTAGTCATTTTTACATATAATATAACTACTGTTATATAAATACACTAGCGATCCGTTCCAGCTTTGCGTCGATGGAATTAATTAACCACTACATTATTAAGATTTAAAATAATCATCAACGAACATTTATTTTTCTGATTTCTCAAAGAAAATCTCCAAGTTTTTCGGATAAAATACAGCCTTGCTCTTTTTTTTTAATTACTTTTTTTTAATTTAGGGACAGGTTATTTTAAACATGTCAGTCCCATTGTACCTAATAACTAAATCAAACTACAATTTCTTAAATTATTTAAACAAAAAATTAACTAATTATATACAATTTGAGCAGCATCAGATAATGGTTCAGACAAAATGCTTTGATATTCCCCTAGGTTACAAATTTTAATATCAGTTTTGGCAATTAATAGTTTCCTTTCATGATGATTTTTAGAACATTCCGCGAGCAAGTGTTGTACATCTTGTATTGTTTTGCATGTATCGCAATTTGGAGATTGTTTCATTTTCATCATGAAAGCAAACTTGTTACACGGAATGTGTCCGGAACGAAGTCGCATTGCTAATGCAATATATTTTCTATTCAACAGACATTGGGCCTTGCTCTTTATCTGTTTTTCGTTCAGTTTCATTACAATCAGCTCAACCAATCCAAAAATTAGACCGAACAGATGGACAGGCAGTGTGACATGCAAATAACCCCCTAAATTCACTAAATGGCATTTATTTCGATATTACAGACAGACGTTTCAATTTTATTTATATATAACAATTAGCAGTTGTCTAATTACAGTAAAAAGCTAAACCCAACGGCGATGCGTGAGTCGTTCTTATTTAATTATTTCTCGTACGCACGCACGCAGGAACTCGGGACTAGTTAACTACATTTGTACCTAATTTTGGGATTCCACATCGTAGACGACTAATTTATGACACCCGTCCAGCATAGCAATAACGTCTCAAAATAAGTCCCAACAATTTTTTTTCTAACTCTTTCATACAGAGATAAATTTTAATTTGACTGGATATAAAACTGAAACAATCAAACTATTTTATTCATACAACTGTAGTTATTATTTTCATGTTGCATGTACTATGAATAACTTTTATTTAATAATTGAAAAATTAACTTTTACATTGAAAAATCCCGGGACATTTCTTCCCGGGATAATGACACTATAAAGTACACTGTTACGTGGTAGAGCCACGCTGCAGCTACATTATGGTTGTACCACGAATGGGTCGGCTCGAATGGGGAAGGACCAACCTCGTACAGAATACCAGCATAAAATAGTAGCTTAATGATGCTGTGTTTCAGGGGTGACATCTGCATTGTGATTCACAATCGAGAATAGATGTATTGTACATGTCTATTTGGGCACAGCATCCAATCACCATCACGAGGACTGTGTGCTATTTAGTCACCCTCATTTATAACAAAAGCAATAGATCGTTAAAAACCTATGCTTCAAATTTTTTACAGCCCGATATCCAGTTAAGCAAACAAACGTGTATTCTTTATCAAATTCTATTTAACCTTCAGTCAATCTATTGTTTCGTAAAACGAAGGCCTACTTTACGCAAAGACTACCAAATAGAAAATTTCGGCCGCTTTATCGAGCTGAATAACATTTGTAGATTCACACCACGTGTAATGGACTAATCGTATAATCCCCAAGGACGGCAAACAATAGCTTGGAGAGGTGATTTGCATAGTTCGAGTACATCAAGGAAGCATATTCGATACATTTGCATGCCCGAAACGGGCGAAGCGATGGCTCCCAGGACGCGGCGTAGACACGACGTGGCGCCGCACTGATGTAATCGTTTGTCCCTACTCGATGTTACAAACAATAATCATTTAAATTCAAATTTCGAGCGTCCAAATTGTCGCCGCGACATGAATTTATTTTCATACAATGTGGCCGCTTATTATTTGGCGCCTTGGGTGTCGCGCGGGTTTCTAATGGAACACGTGTTGCGATTAACACAACGATGGCTTCCGCATAGACCAGTGACAAAGTGTGAGAACAAAATGTTTCTTTTTTTTAAATTCCGAATAACGTAATAAATGCATTGCCCGTTCAAAATACAAAGGCATGTAAACAAATGGTTATACTCACTTCCAGCCGGTCGAGTATCTCGAAAAGAGCCATATTTCGTTGCTGTGCGGCCGAAAACAATGGCACCGCTTTCGCGCTCGCTGACAGTTGCACGGTCGCTGCAAGAGAAATTCAATGAAAATTTAAATACACCTAAAGTACAACGAACAAAAGATTCAAGATTTAAGTACAGCAGAAGAAAGTTTTTATTTCATTCTGATAATGTTAGCACTCTTACAAACTAGTTTTCCGGTCTGAAACTTGGTGGATATATTATTATCAAACTAGAGAAGAAACTAAGAACGATTGCAAGATTTTTTCAGTATTATAATAATCAATAGCGCCTTTAAAAGGTCAACTGATGAACATAGGCCCACCCTAAATATGCCATGAAATACGGTCCTGTGCCACATGCATTCATCAACTTATTTTATTTATATCTTACGAAATCGTCACCTTACCCTTCGCTTACCAGTCCGTGAATGCCACTCGAGAATATTTCTTACTCGTTCATTTTGGGTTCTTCAAGCTATATGGCTGATCCATTGCCACTTTAGCTTACTGATCAGTTGCGCTTTGTCGGTTACTCTAGTTCTACTGCGAGTGTCATTACGAATTATATCTCGCATAATTCTACGATTACGTTAGTAAAATATTATATTTCTACTAATAACGAAAAAATTCCACGTCAGTCCTCAGAGGTGACAACGCATCATTATTTTGAATCTTAATCGAAGACAGATGACTGTATAGGCCACAGCATTCACTTTACATCAGGTGGACTGTCAATCTTCTCAAAAAGAAGCAAGAGCCGCCGTAGCTCAGATGCTAATTACCAGCAGTTAATTTCACAATAGTTACGCGAGCATTCCAGGTTCGATTCCCGGCCGGCACCAATAAAATTGTTAATTGCAATTTTAGGTATGTATTTACCACGTGCTCGGTGGTGAAGGAAAACATCGTAAGGAAATCGGCATGACTTAGAAATGAAAAAAATAATTCGAACACATGTGAACTTCGCCACATGCATTGAGGCAGCGCGGCCGTTAAACTCTTGCCCTAAAACCCTCTCAGAAATTAGAGGCCTGTGCCCGGCAGTGGGACGTATATAGGCTGCAACTTTAAACTTTTGTCCAGCAAAAAGCATTATTAAATGTTTAAAATTAATTCTAAAGTACTTCTACTATTACTTTAGTGCACGAAAATATACTCTCTTAGACGAGTTAAATTAGTTTTCCACTGGTTTTGCCCTCCGTATATATTAATTGCTCCACACTTTCGCCTCTAGCTTTTCTTCATCTAATTAAAATTAAATAAATTCTGATTACATATATCATATATTGGTACTAGCTTGCTAGGCAGACGTTGTTCTGCCCTTTTCTACGACTCTTTGTCATGTTCTATTAAAAATCCTTAAATTCGCAAAAACAAATTGTGGGTCACTCATGGGAAAAAAAACTATCCAATCTCTCAAGTTGGACCAAACTTACACGGTGTGTAAATTTGATTATATATATATATATATATATATATATATATATATATATATATATATATATATTAGTATTGATTGAAAAGTACAATACTATAAAAACCTTCTGGTAAAAATCGTCAATAAGTCAATGCCGTCAAACGTGTTGCCGGCTGATTGTCATGCATGTAACAGCATCCTAACAAAATTATCATACAAATAAAAATGAAGCGTCTCTCTGTTATATTGGAATAACTGGCTACTGTTAAGCTCACGGGAATATTTGCATTACATTAAGACATAAATAAACATTTTTAGAATTTTTATCTGTCTGTCCGGATTATTATTCCGAATGGCTGAATCGACTGTGATGAAACTTTACGAACATATAGAAACCAATGCTAGAATTGATCTAAGCTATTTTTTATAGAATAAGGGTGACAAACGAGCACACAGTCCACCTGATGGTAAGTGGTTGCTGTGACCCACAGACATCTACATGTATCCTCGATTAAGAATTAAAATGGCAGATGCCTTGCCAGCCTTGAGGACCAACTTGTAGGAGCTATAGATTAAAAGTTTAATTTTTTTTTACCTCCCCGTACTGCCCTGGAGGAACTTCATAAAATCCGTTCTAGGTGATTTTAACATACCAAAAAGAATATTCTGGCGAAGTTTTATACCTATAAGGGCTATAGCTTGAAAACGTGATTTTTTTAATAAACTCCACCACAACCCGCCCTGAGGGTGGAATTACGTATAATCCGTTCTTATATGACCTCTACTCGGCGAAAAGAATATTCCTACCAATTTACAATGTCTCTAGTCTGGAACCATATGGATATCGTGATGAGTCAGTACGTAGGTGGCAATCTCTTATATATTAAGAGAAGAAGATTTATAAAATTAACTCGAGGAGTAAATCACATATCAATTTGTCAGTAAGACCTTAGTGTTAGTAAACCTAAAACTAGTTAATTGTATTACTGTTATTTTATTAAGCTGTTATAAATTGTTTGATTTCCATCGTTTTTATACATTACAATTGTACCTAGCTTAACTTTATATTTAATATGTGGATAACTGTTATTTGAATACTTGAGGTAAATTTGAAAATCGTATTTAGTGATATACGCTGTTGTTTTATCCTTATTAAAATAAAATAAAATAAAAATAAGAAAAATAATAGGACGCTAATGTTTGATAATCCTTTTCTTTCATTTTTCATTAATAGCAAAAGGTATTTTTAGTAATCAATCAGCGTTGCATCAGATGTAATTTAATAATTTTTTTTAACGTCGTAGAGCCATGCTGCAGTTATATTAGTAGTATAGTTGTAGCACGAATGGGTCGGCTCGACCGGGGAAGGACCACGCTCTCACAGAATACCAGCGTCAAATAGTAGCTTAATGCTGCTGTGTTTCGTATGGTGAATTTAGAGAACCGGTGACCCTTTATACTGAAAACGAGGCATTCCACCTAAGTCCTCACGGATGACAGCGCATCTGCATTTCGATTCGTAATCGATGATAGATGTAGATGTCTATGGGCCATAGAAACCACTTACCATCAGGTAAACTTTGTGCTCGTTTGTCATCCTACCTATAAAAAAATTTAAGATATGTATTTCTGTTGAAGCCCCCACCCTTAAACCGCAAATATCTGCCTGTGGAAACGGTTTTTTTTTACAGAATTCTTTCAAGTCTTAAAATTGTTTACTTCAGTTATTTAGTAAATATAAATTTTATCGATATTTTCTTTATCCATTGATTTTTTTTTATTTTATACATAAATCTATTTACATAAAAACATGCAGTCAGCAGTAGCTAGAACAAACAAATTCATAAACAAAACCTCGTTGCTTAAAAGCAATGTCCCATAAAAATCACTAGGCAAACAACGTAGAGGCAACAATAGGCATTAAACGTATCCATAAGTTTCGATGCAAGGAAACGGAGCCATGAAGCAGATTAAAATGCTGTAAATAAACGTACGTGAGGCATAGCATCAATGTTAACTCGAAACGGAATACGTTTATCCTTCGCTGGAAACGTCCCGGTATTAGAAGGATTGCCTCGAATGTACGACGTACACGGTCGTCTTTTACACTGGCGTGTCAGTGGCAGGATTTAATCACTGTGCTTGAATAAATTTATTCTTTAGTAAAATGCATTTATACGCACATCAAGTACACTAAACGATTAGTTAAGCAGTAACAGATTTACGCTACGTTTTCGTTATTAGCTGACATCAATATTAATAGCTTCTTAAAAAAAATTCTTAATAGAAACAAAAATCTCGACACATATATGATAAGCCATTAATTTTCTTCATTGTTATTTTATAGAAGTTAAAGAAAGAAAAAAGAAAAAAGGAAAAAGCTCACCACTAATAAATAACCATAACCCGCACCACACCCCCCACCATCCATAACCGAAAAAGAAAAAAAAATAAATCCCCATAAAATATAAAATTCAATTTCATTTTCCTTTTTTAATTATTAATACCAAAATATTTTAATTTAATATTATAATAAATATAAAAAAATTTAAATTAACAATAATCAAATTCACCCTTCCTAAAACCCAAAAAACCCCCAAAAAAAGTTGCTATATTTCGTATGGTGAGTGTAGAGAACCGGAGACTCTTTTTACTGAAAACGAGGCATTCCATCTAAGAACCCACGGATGACAACACATCTGCATTTTGATTCATAATCGAGGATAGATGTAGATGTCTATGGGTCACAGCAACCACTTACCATCAGGTGGACTGTGTGCTCGTTTGTCATCATGTCTATCCTATAAAAAAACTACAGTTTTATTTTTATTTTTAATCGTTATTGGGAAGACTTTTCCGCCTATATCCTGATTTGTTTCCCTCTGTCGCCGTATTTTCACACCGCCAGTTACTACCTACCAGTTACTACCTACCAGTTACTACCTACCAGTTACTACCTACCAGTTACTACCTACCAGTTAACCTACCTACCAGTTACTACCTACCAGTTACTACCTACCAGTTACTACCTACCAGTTACTACCTACCAGTTACTACCTACCAGTTACTACCTACCAGTTACTACACAGTAAGCCAGCCAGTCCTCGGGGAGATGGTAATAATTCCTCGACGCATATTATATTCTCTACAACACTACGTCTTTCTGTAATGTGTTCAAAAACTATCCAAAGAAAATAACAATTATCTAGTACAAAATAACATATAACTACGGTGACAAAATACTAACTACTATAAAAGTAATTCAAGTATCACATTTTCCCTTAAAATGAGAATTCACATCAGAGTATCTCGCCGATATTGCCTTGAAATCGATGGCAGATTTTGACGTTCATAGGAGCGTTCAACAAACCATAACTGAATAAAATATTTCCGACTTTGCCTTTTTGAACGTATTTTGTCACTTGTGAAAGACACATCTCTTAAAATTTCCATTCTTTCTAAAACCATAGTAAATATTAATAGATGGCAAAGAAAATATTTTGAATATACCAAACTAACAGGCAATATGCCAATATGACAGGTAGAAGGTTCAAAGGTAGCGCTACATACAAACGCAGCTAAGAATCCTACTAACTTTGCAGCGCTTGTTTACAGTAGAGAACTATTGAGAAAATACTAAAATACTAC